TTAAGAGCCTATCTGCTGTAGGCAGTGTCATCTCTCTTTTTTGGAGTTGCCGAGAGAGGTCGCTGAGCTCTGTGAGCGCATCGTACATCAGTCCCAGATTGCTGACAAACGTTGCAGATGTGAGCACATCATCCAGGCCCTTGTACTTTGCTCTGTCTCTGGAATCCCTGCTCGTGTCGTTTGCAGCATTTGTGAAGTGATCATGAAGCACTCGGTAGTTTTCCCAGACTGCTCTGACGCTCCTTTCACTTGAAGCCACCCAGCGGATGGACAAAACACGCCCTATCACCAGGAGACGCTGTCCGACTGCTTGCGCACACTGCGCTAACTGCCTCTGATTTTTGGGGGAGGCATGGAACAAGGAATATAGTTTGTCAAAAAAGATCTGGAAATGATTGAGCCCTGAGACCTCCTTGACCACATCCCCAACTGCCAGCTCTAGACGATGATTGGAGCAGTGCCACACAAACAGGCTTGGGAATTTACTACACAACTGGGTAGCAACGCCTGTTCTCTTCCCTAGCATGACTGAAGCCCCATCACATGCAAAAGAAACGAAACACTGACCTAAAAAGTCCTCGTTAAAATCTCTTCCAAGACACTCCATTAACGCCTTTGTGATGTCATCAGCCGTTGTTCCATCCAACTCGATCAGCTCCCAAAAAAACGTTTCGGGCTCAGCATCAGCTAATGCTGAGCGTAGACACACAACAAGCACCGTTTTACCACTAATAGTGGTAGATTCATCGACCAAAACACAGAGTTTTCTTTGGTTTTCTGTAATGTCTTTTGCCATTTTTTTTCTTCAGCTCATGAGCTATGTGGTCGATGATTTCGCCACAGGTTTTATTGGAGTGCAAAACCCTGCCCACGTTCAGCCCATTCAGTTTCTGTACATTCAAATCAATTGGCATGTCTGTGAATGGCCGGCTATGTTTGCCAATTTTATATGCCGTTCGAAAAACTCTGATAGTGGTGTCTAATTCAGATTTATGCATAGACTGCACTTGATGTTGAATAGTTTCACGTGAAGCAGATGTAAGGATGTCAGCAGCTTTTACATGGGCTTGTGATTCTTTATGTTCTTTGATTTTTTTTCTCAGGCTAGCTTGTTGTTTGCCCTTGTCAACACCGAAATGAGACACTGCACACTCACCCCATTCAGTTGACAGTTTCAGTCCTTGTCCAGTGTGTATTCCCAAAGATTTGACATCTCTGCATATCCGACATCCTAGCTTCTTATCTTTAAGAAGGAGCCATGCATTGGTCTTGCAAAAATATTGCACCTGGTCCGTTGTCCAGCAGTCAGGTGCATCGCTTTGCCCGGTGTTGGTGGTGGCAGTTGCGCCAGCAGCAGCTAACGTTAGAGGCTCTGGAGGAGGCGGCGGAGCTAGTGATAATGCTAATGCACTAGAACTTGGAGCAGGAGGATCAACCAAAGAAAGCTCCCCATCAGACACAATTTCCAACACAGGCACAGCATTCTCTGTATTTGAAGTTTCTTCCGGCGACAACCGCTGTCTTTTTGCACTTTTATTAATCCACGCTAACATTTTAGAAATGCTAATTTGTGACGTGACTTGCTTTCCTTCTCTCGGGGGCATGCCTGCTCTGTTCTATCACTCTACATAGCCACCCACTGGGTGGGAGTTGCACTGCATAAACACAACACACGTGCATCTAGGTATGTAAATTGTAAAGCATTAAAACATGGTTTTACTAACAGTTTTCAGTATGTTGTTACTTCGGCATTATTATTATTATTATTTTGAAACGTGTATTACTATTAAATCACGGTCAAATAGGTTAATTTTGACATAGTCGTTTCCACCACAGTATTTACATGGAGAAGATAAGCCCCGCCCCCTCTCCAGCACGTTCTGTTTGAATGACAGGAGTAAACAGCTGACAGCCGCTGTGAAACTCCAGCGGTTAGAGCGATGAGAATGTCCGTTCGGCACCTCATGACGCATCTACTGAGTACCGGGCGGCTGTATATATATATATGGATGTATAATAAGAACGGCGGGAGAGTGTTGAGTACTGGCACGGTGCATGAGTACCGGAGTACCGCCAGCATGCCGGTACTGAGCAAGAAGTGCCGGTACTCCATGGGTCAGAACCAGAAGTGCCGGTACTGCGTACCGGTGAGTACCGGCCCAATTCCAGCACTGCTTCTGCTACCAAGTAAAATGTTGCAGTGAAGTGAATGTGAGAGAAAATTAATTGACTGTTCGACAGGGTGTAACGCCTCGGGTCGAGGTAGCAGCACGGGCTTTAGTTCAATTAATAGCCAGGGAGTTGTCTGCGACTCCAACTCCACCAGAAGTGAGCATAGCAGAGAGTGCACCGGTCAGCGTAGCAGTCAGGGCGCTAGACAGCGTCCAATCCCACAATGATGTCAGGGTGAGGCAGGCGATGAGAAGGTGATTTAATAGACTTTTTTTTACATTTGACAGTTCAAGATCAAACTGTGGCCTCGCAGAGGCATGACAGGGGGGCGCGAGAGACCAGGAGGAAAAATGGTTATTAAAAAAAAAAAAGATTATAAAAAAAAAAAAAAAATCATATTTTGAAAAATTATTGATTCGAAAATAATATGATACAGTACTATTACGTCTGGGTCTCTGTGTTTCATTAAAGCTCGGCTCTGTGTGTGTGTGTGTGTGTGTGTGTGTGTGTGTGTGTGTGTGTGTGTGTGTGTGTGTGTGTGTGTGTGTGTGTGTGTGTGTGTGTGTGTGTGTGTGTGTGTGTGTGTGTGTGTGTGTGTGTGTGTGGAACGAGCCATTTTGTGTGCGTGCGTGAGCGAGAGAGAGAGATAGCGCACCGGTACCGGAGATCGTTGATGTTAGCTTCTGGTGCTAGCGAGCTACGCTAACGGATATAAGGAGTTTTTTTAACAACAAAGTGGAGGAGAGTCCTCTCCTGTCAGACTGAGAGTCTCAGTGAGCTAAAGGACTCTCAGTGTTATCTCAGTGGGTCTCAAACGTTTTGGTCACCATTAATGTAAACAATTATTTCCGAGGCACACGTTTATATGATCATTATAGTTATAAAAAAATAAGAGAATACATGAAAAACAGCTATGAAATACTATATGACAGTAAAACAAGAATAAAGTTTAAAAGAGTGATTTATAAAATATCCATAAAGAAATAGTAAATCTGTTTACAATTCTGTTTCATCTGGGTGTTGAGAGATGTATCCATAGATCTCTTCATTTTGCTCTCAAAGTGCACCAGATTGATGCTTTCAACTTCAATATTTAAAAATCTTCCCGGGGGAGCATGCCCCCGGACCCCCCTATGTGAGGTCCACACACCACCTATAAAAATAGCACTTTACCCCTGCTTACATCTATATGCCGAGACTTGATATCGAGCCTTCATTGTAACAGTCGCGGGTACATAGTGTATGTGCGTGGGGAGTGTTGCAGTAGAAAATTCCACTGTAGCGACCGGTACATTAATGGGAAACCCTAAATGTTTGAGCACGCTCTATGAAAGGTCAAGCTACCCCACAGCACCCCCAAAATAAATCTCTGGCGCCGCCACTGAGCCTGACTATTTGTGTTGGGGGGGCCCGACTTTTTTTTTTCTCCAAAGGGGGGGCCTGACCGAAAAAGTTTGAGAACCACTGCTCTAATGTAATGTTGAGTTAATGTTTTAAAACATTTGTCCATAGTATGTATCCTCCATTACTGCTTTTAAAACCTTTAACAACCCCTTGCCTTGAAACGTCCCAAACACAATATATTAATGTTTTCAAAACAAATATTTTGGTAAGATAAAGCTAAGTGTCAAGATTGTTTTTGTATCGACAGAATATTAACTATGATTTCGCTTTTTATTCATACAATTTGTTCAACCTATGTTAACAAAACCATCAACGCAAGCCAATGATTTGCAAATGATATAACAATGTCTAGTCTCACAGATCCTTTTGTCATTCCCACATCAGGCAATTCCCAAGTATGTTCAGTACTGATCAGCCAAGAGGCAAAAGACGATTTCCCACCCCGGCTCCTTGCATCGTCAAACGGACAGACTTTCACATATATGTCCTTTCGGGACCCAGTCAGTTTACACCTAAGGGCTCGGAAGAGCTACCACTTGCCTATGCTGGCCTTGGAAAGAGGATGCTAAATCTACCGGACAACTTATTGCACAGTGAGGTAATCATATAAACAGACAGTATTAAAGATTTCTCAATGATTTAAAATGTGAATCACTTGCTGAATATTGTATGTTATTTCACTTTGTTTTAAAGACTATGGCTTCGGTTGAGGAAGAATTTCCAAAACTGAAAACATTAAAAGGAGGCTGGATGTTTTTCAAGTCAGCAGGTAATATTGTTCTCATCTCCATTGGTGAAAATGCTGTGTTGTGTTTTTCACACTCAGAAGCCCCACATATGTGTTTTCTGTTGCCCTACTTTGAATTACCATTCATATCACTTCTTCAAGTTGTATAAAACAGTACTAAAGTTTGCCTGACAAAGTGTAACGTATATCCCTAATATTAATGTATGTACTGTCAGGTGGTTTTAAAGCACACTTGTGTTGTTCATATTTAGATTTTAAAATAGGTGGTAGTGGACGTCGAAAGCTGTCCATAATTCCTACTGACTCCGAGGGGTACTCCACAAGGCTCCTCAAAACAGCGTCCAACAACGGAAAAAACATTGTGTTTGTAATTCCACTACAGGAGCAACTTTCTACCGAACCACTACCCTATGACTCGGCAGAGTTTGCAAAGATGCCACAGTCAACCTGCATAACATGTGGCAGTCAAATGCCTTTGCAGCTGTTGCCTTTACATGTGGAGGAATGTAATGACATATTGACTGTAAGCTGTTATTAAAACGTTTCTCTAATTTCTCAAATAAATATGTAATGTTTTAGTTTGCTCAAATGACTGTTTCAAAGTCTATAGAACCAATTCTCTGTACCTTTTTTGTTTTTTAGGAGAGTGAATCTGGGACTTCTCTTGATTAAGTGATTGAGCAGCCAAATCCACCTAACACAGGGATGGGAGAATTGTCAGAGGTAGTTGATGCTGATCCTGTTAAAGTTACTTTGCAATTTAGTATAAAAGCCTTATTGTTTTCAGTAAATAATGACAGCATGATTGCAGGTGTGTATATAGGTAGGGTATAACACATTTCACCAAACAGACTTTTTGCACACTGTCTATGTACTCATTTTTTTATCATAGAATTATGTTTCCTGTATCACTTATCTGAGAGAGAATTATTAAACATAAAACCTCTTATAATAATGTGATATGTTTTAAAGGTATTGACATTTGTTTATGTTTTTTACAGGTTTGCCCTATATGTCTTGAATCTTACCCAATTGATGTCCTCTCATTTCATGCAAGCACATGTGGTGAAGGGTAAGACGTTTTGACTTGTTCAAGCAAAAGATGGACGATAGACATGTTTTGAGAGAGGTGAACAACATATACAAAGTGTCAAACCTAATAACGATATCGTTTGGTGAATGTGCTTGTTCCTTTTTTGTGTTTTAAAATGCTGTAATGTTACAGCTATAGCAGCTGCATCAGAGCATGTAATGCATTTTTAGGAAATGTAGAAATCTTAACAGAGCCGAAATACTTATTAGGGATCTGATTTAAATTACTTTGTTTGATATGCAAGAAGAAATATGTAAAAAAAGAAGGGCGCTCACTAGTCTCTATTTTCCATTCCTGTGAGTATGTTTTTTGTTTTGTCTTTTCCAAGAATGGACCCTGCTCATCATAGCGATGCAGCCAGTATGACAAGGACAGAGGAAATGCCAGGACCTTCAGTTCAACGATTGCCAGCAACAGTTTCAGCAGGTTATTTATTCAGAACAATTACTGCTGTGGTGTAGTTTGAAACAGTGACTACTCACAAACACTTAAATAGCAATGATCACCAAAATGAATGTTGTTACATGTTTGATCCAGTAATATGGAAAGGATAATTGATTTCAAGTTACTACCTTTTAATATATTGCTTTAAAATACAGGGCTTACTAAATGAGACAATAAATGAAGTACTATTTTACAATTGAAGCTGACATATTATGAAGTTTATTGTACCAACCACTTTTTTTCCCTTCAAATTACATTTCAGCATGGGCCAATGAAGTGGACCCCCGGAAGGCATGTCAGTTGTTCAGAGAGGAACTGCTGGAACGTAACTATGAATGTCCACGCCTCTTTCTGTCAATCGACTTGTTTGACGCAGAAGAAGAAACAGACAGTTCATTGATTTCATTCTTTAAAATGAACAATGTTAACTGGGCAGCTCCATTGAAGTGCAGGCTGAGAGGTATTAATAAATAGTGTAACTTCTCATGTTTCATTATAGGTTGTCATCTGGGTCGAATTTTGCCTTTTTGTTTGTTTTTACTTGCATGTTGAGGATTAAGTTCATGTCCCTTAGACCAGGGAAGAAAGAACTAGTTACATTTATTGTATTGAAAGCTTGAAGGATGATTCATGTTGTCTCTTGGTAAGTGTATGTTGAATATCATCTTGTTGGTTGTACTTTTCTAAATGAGGTCGTCTTTTCAAGGGGATGCAGCAGTCGGCCAAGGTGTCAACCGACACGTTTTGTCAATGGCCATGCAGAAACTGAAGACCGGCTTCAGTATAAATTTAGGTGGGATGTCCCCATTTGTCTTTCAATTGAAATAACCACTTGCAGCTAAATCTTAATAAACCAACAAAGATTACAACATGCATATTCACAGTTGAACCAACACTCAATATAGCTTGACCTAAAAATTACGTTATAGCAATACATGGTGTCTAAACTATTTCTCCTTTTTTCTTAAGGCTGTGCAGCTCTTACAAGCCTTTTTGAAGGCGAAATGGAACATCGGGTTCCCTCCGCAGCTGCTGTGCTTCGGGAAAGCAACCTGTTTGAGATGGCAGGTCGGATGATAGGCCATTCCTTCCTGCATGGTGGTTTTGGTTTCTCAGGACTAAGTGTGCCTGTAGTGACTCTGAGGCCATGGATCTCAGCAGGAAACCGATGGACTGTCCACTCCAGGTAGGGAATGAGTCCTTACCCCAAGTGAAGGAGTTCAAGTATCTCGGGGTCTTGTTCTCGAGTGAGGGAACAATGGAGCGTGAGATGGGCCGGAGAATCGGAGCAGCGGGAGTGGTACTGCAGTCGCTTTACCGCACCGTTGTGACGAAAAGGGAGCTGAGCCAGAAGGCAAAGCTCTCGGTCTTCCGGGCCATTTTCGTTCCTACCCTCACCTATGGTCATGAAGGATGGGTCATGACCGAAAGAACGAGATCGCGGATACAAGCGGCCGAGATGGGTTTTCTCCGCAGGGTGGCTGGTGTCTCCCTTAGGGATAAGGTGAGAAGTTCGGTCATCAGGGAGGGACTCGGAGTTGAGCCGCTCCTCCTTCGCGTCGAAAGGAGCCAGTTGAGGTGGTTCGGGCACCTAGTTAGGATGCCACCTGGGCGCCTCCCTAGGGAGGTGTTCCAGGCACGTCCAGCTGGGAAGAGACCAAGGGGTAGACCTAGGACCAGGTGGAGGGATTATATCTCTTCGCTGGCCTGGGAGCGCCTTGGGATCCCCCCAGTCAGAGCTGGTTGATGTCGCCAGGGAAAAGAAAGTTTGGGGCTCTCTGCTGGAACTGCTACCCCCGCGACCCGACCACGGATAAGCGGGAGAAGATGGATGGATGGATGGATGGATGTCCCCATTTGTCTTTCAATTGAAATAACCACTTGCAGCTAAATCTTAATAAACCAACAAAGATTACAACATGCATATTCACAGTTGAACCAACACTCAATATAGCTTGACCTAAAAATTACGTTATAGCAATACATGGTGTCTAAACTATTTCTCCTTTTTTCTTAAGGCTGTGCAGCTCTTACAAGCCTTTTTGAAGGCGAAATGGAACATCGGGTTCCCTCCGCAGCTGCTGTGCTTCGGGAAAGCAACCTGTTTGAGATGGCAGGTCGGATGATAGGCCATTCCTTCCTGCATGGTGGTTTTGGTTTCTCAGGACTAAGTGTGCCTGTAGTGACTCTGTTGACTGGTGGGAGCACGGATACTGCAGCATCAGTGAAACAATTGGTTTTGTGAGTGTCCTAGTTAAAAAGTGACATGTCATACACCACTGCACCACAATGCTAACATACACTTGTCATCTTGTGCATTATGAAAAAGATTCCATTCATGCGTCAAGGCTGGGCTGTTTAGCTAGAAATGATTTCCAATGCTTTTTTGTGTCCCATTTTGATTTTTCCAGATTTAGGCTTTTTGTCCACTTTTGCATGCATTTAAATGATGTCCTCTTTTCTCCTGTTTTAGCTCAAGAATACACAACTTACTGCTCAAGAAACCACCAGTGTGACTGATCTTTGCCTGTCCTGGGACCTCCCTGTTCCAACCTCCACCAATCATGACTGGCTGTTCCAGGAACTTCTTTCCCATGCAGTAATCATTTTATATTGTACCATTTTTATTTAAACAATACAATACAATGTTTAGGTAATTAGTAGGTTTGCTTTGTAAGTCCTCCTGTATCTGCTACTGTGGTGTTTTTCCATTAGTGCCTCAGTTTGATTGTTCCTTTTACTTGTAGGTACTTCACCGTGTTAGGCAGCCTATCAAGCAGATTCGCAAAGGCCTTAAAGAAACGGGAATCTGGCCGCTTGTTTCAAATAGGCCAGATGTCCACCCCATATTATTTCCAAGAGAGAAAAATGATGAGCTGAACTCACAGGTAAGTACCATTTTCTTTATTGGATTTATGTTATTCATGGGATTTGTTTGCAAACACTATCATGCAATTTCATTTGTGGGGCTCTTAAACTGGTGTGTAGATCTTAAATCAATGCTTTACAATGTTAAGATAATTCTGTAGCATATAACATGAGCTTCAATCTTAGCAAAGAACACGTTTGTATTTGATCCCCTATAGACTGTGATCCAGAACATCCACTGGCCACAGCCCAAAAGTGACAGCGATGAGGACGAGGACGACGCCGTTCCATTGGAGAAAGTCGGTCTCGTCACTGGATTTTTGAGGCAATTCATAGAGGAAGGTAACACTAATTAATGACTACTAAAGCTATAGTGCAGCTGAAGAGATGGCAGTTCTGATGAAAAATAATATACACACATCGGTGTACAAATACAAATCTATGCATGGGTTAACCGTTGATATTCCTGCAAGTTTTACTGCTCAAATTTAAGTTTTGATATAATGCAATTTGAGGTATCGCATACATAACAAATTCTCTCCCATAGCATCTCCGAAGGTGCTGCGTGACCTCTTGAAGTTCTGGGTCGGGTGGGAGCTGCTCACAACAAACCTTGAAGTTGAGGTTGTTACTTCAAAATACCCAGTGGCTCTCACCTGCTTCCTAAAATTGAAGCTCCCAAGCCACTACCAAACTTATGAGAAGTTCCACCAGGACTTGATGATGGCCCTCAGTTCCATCAGTTCAGGCTTTGGGCTTGTGTAGCTACACACTGACTCTCAGTTTGTTTTGTATTTTTCTGGAGAAGGGTTTGCCTCTCTATTCAATACACTGTGTGAGATACAGGGTTACAGTTGGTACACCTACCGTGTTTTATAAATAAAGGACATTTGGAAAAAGACTGTTTGTCCATTATCATTGTTACACTTTAACGGAGCGTCCACACAGCAGCGTGTGTTGACGCTTGGAGTTGGGCGTGTCTGAAGCTTGGGGATTTTTTGCGACCAACAACCAATCACATGAATCTCCCGCCCCCGACATACAAAGCAATAGCAATGTTAAAACGAAGTAAACTGGATATAAAATAATGAATTTTCCCTCCATTTTTTTGAATATGAGGAAATGACCTGCGTAGTCTCTCCCAGCATACACACGGTTTGATTGGCTAGCGCTTGTAATGGCAGATTTGCATAAATGGGATTTCATTGGCTGACGCTTCTGCCGAGTCGCCAAAAGTTGAACATTGCTCAACTTTTGAAGCGAGCAACGCTCCACGTCGCTTTCCAAAATGCAGTTCGGCTAAAAGTGACGTCACCCCATTCAAAGTGAATGGGCAGAAGCGTTGGAAGCTTCAACGCACGCCGCTGTGTGGACGGGCCGTAACAATGCCCAATCCCTTGAACAGTAAAGCATTACACTCCGAATAGTTCTTTTACAATGTTTTTATTTTGTACAGAGTGTAAAATGAATGTAATTCTGTTGCTCTGAAACGGTTTTTGATCCTGACTGAAAATGCATCTCTAAAAACACTTCCATTAATTTATAAGTCAAAAGAAAAATGTCTAATCATGCAATTGAGATTAACTTAATCAAGCATAAGCTATGTAAATATAAAATGATTAACTTTCCATCATTGCCAAATAACTGAAATCATGACACAAATCATACTATAGTTGTTAAATGTAACAACTATCGGTGCTCAATTAAATTCTCAATGTATTGGACAGTATTGAGATATATGTCCACTCCGAAACATTCAGATTCTTCCAATGGATCAATGTTGTCTTGCAGTTGCATAATTTCAAGGTCTGAGAGAGGGAAGTTCAGCGTAGGGACATTGACCCCGGTATGATGCTCATTTGTGTATCCACTCTCTTCCCATTGAATCTCTGGTATGAGTGAACCCTAAAAAAGACAAAGTGAGTGTACAAATATTAAAGCAAGCACTGTGCCATTACTGCTTCTTATTACAAAATATGTGATCAGGCGAAATAAAGAGGGTATGCAATTGTTCTATAATAATAAAAAATGGAGTGATTGTGGAATAATGTTAAGGTAATAGTGTAATATTATAGAAAAGTGTTCTTGCTTGCTCCCAGCAGAGGTTTTTTTAATCCAAGAACGGGAGTTAGTTTATGAATCAGATAACTTATTATACTGTTTGGGTTTTTATTGATTGATAATAAACAAGAGATAGTGATGGTTTTGAAAATTCATAATTTACCTCAGGCTCAGGATCTGCAACAGGATTCAGGTGCTGGCCCACCTGCCACAACTGATTGGGTGTCAGATTTTGCTCTGTCCTGATGGGATGGTTGGCCCAGGCCTCACTGAACACATCCAGGTTGGCTTGGATGCGTGGCAAGAAAACGTAGTGGCAGCAGAAGATGTGCAGGACGTTACTGATGTCAAGCAGGTGTTGTTCCTCAAGAGAGTGCAGGGTGTTGTAAAGACACCCGTAACACTCATGAACACATCACGCCAGAGGCGTTCAATTCTGTGAGAAGAAAACACAAAAAAAATTTAAACTTGAAAGAAAATTCAAACTGTTCACTATGAACAATTTAAAGTTTCCTAGTCATTGAATCAATGGCAATGTCTCTAACTGAAAATTGCATTTATTTAAAAAAAATCAACTGACTTGACAGGAGAGTACAAACATAACATTAAGTGAGTTTTCAAATGTTTGCGTGGCTGGTAAATTTCTGTGAAAATTGTCATTTTCTTCTTTGTGAAGGAATGGTCTCAACATGTGCTTATGAAGGTTTGTTAAAGGGAATATTAAGAAGAAGAAATATGCTCATAAGCTTACATAATTAGGTTTAACTCACCGTTGATTGTGTACGCTTTTCCCTGCAATGAAGCTGTTACTGTCAGTTCCACGAACTGAGAACATTAATTGTGCTACTCCCACATTTTCTCCACCATGATCTCCTCTCACTCTGGAAAATAAATCAAATAATTATGCATAGTTAAAATCTACGTATTTGAAGGTCCAAAAAACGAGGGGTACAATTCCATAATGATCTACATCCATAATGTGATCACAAATGGCTCTCTCTGGACATACATATTTGAGATATCTGGACAGGTCCTTAACTGTAACCCTTAAGAGTTCTCTTTCACTTTATTAAACCTCGAATTATCTTCCACACCTGAATGAGGGATGGTTCACATCAGCTTGTGAATAGATTATATTTTCATATTTCTGTACAGTACATGAATCTCAGCTGAGGGATAGAAAAATCTGACATGTCGCTTATATATTGTCATATGTGAGGGGCTCACATAGAATTAACAATTGATATGGCTGTGTCCGACAGCACTTTTGTGACCTAGAAAAGTACCGTTTATAATGGCAATTGTTTTAACTTATATGTTCAGATTGCCTCTTTGAACTAACAGTAAAGCACGACAATATTTGCAATGAATGAGTCCCATCAAAAGTAAAGTGGTCGTCACTGATGCAGCCATTGGAGGGGAACATCTAAATTTGATGGAAAGGTCCGCAATTACACTAATGATTACATATGAAATAATGTGAATACCTCAGAGGAAACCCGTGCTCGTTCACAGCTTCATTGAAGAAACACAAGTGGGTGTCAGCCCGGTTGTTGTCTGCTATCTTCAAGTACATAATCTACACATAAAACAACATATTAGTACCTTGATGAATCAGTTTAACTTGAAGCATCTGTCAAATGACAATGTGCAGCATTAAGAGAATAACGCACAACAGAATTATTCAATGTATAACAGAATATCATGATAGCTCAGGCATGCTTCTTGACATATATTGTGCGGTTACTAGTATAAGTGTTTTAATTATTTCACAAGTTCTTCAAAGTATTTATTTTGAAATTAAGTAAATAAGTAAATGCATATTGTTTGATCTGAATCACTTAAAATATAAGGTGACTTTAGAAGTCCATATCGTCTGTTTGGTAAGAGGCGATATGTAATTAACTATAGGTTAGATTGTGTACCTAAAGATCACCACCTGTTGGTACAGAAAATAAACTGAAGCTTAGAAAAGTAAAACCATCACATGATGTTCGGCAACATTTTGCAGTTGTTGGTTCTTGACAATAGAATAGTCTTACCTTCCTTGAATAGCCATCTATTCCCCCAAAGATAACAAAGTTGTACCTGTCAATGATAGACAATGATATGATTACATACACAAGATATATACAACTAGACATTAAAAATAATAAAATGAACAGATTACATACAGACAGCATGCAGACAAACCTGATGAGCTTGTGGTTGGTGTCAATGTGCACCATGTACTTAGGGTAAGGAACTGTGTATGTTCTCCTCACCACACATCCCATCCGGGTCATCCTGGCGAGCACACCAACACTGTCCACACGATGCATGGATGCATACACCCGTTCCCATTGCACTCTGTGTCCCTTCGCAAGTAGAGCACCTCGGACTACACGGTAGCCAGCATCTGGCATTGCACTTTTTATTGTGGTGATCAATGAATCCAATTCGTCATCAGTGCAGCCGCTATATGAAGCAGATATAGAAATGTCATTTTCGGTCATCCGCCTAAATAGCGTTGCTCTAGACACACCCAGGAGTCTGGCGATGCAACTCGATGGCAGTCCCAGTTCAACCAGATGTGTCAGAGCCTCTACTGACACATTCAATCGTGGACGCCCACGTCCACAACATTTTTGCAACTCAAGGGTCACAAATATCTGTTGATTATCTCTCTCTTGTTGGATAAGGCTATTCAGGTCTGCAAGTGCAGACTGTATATTATTCCCTAAATCAACAATGTCACCCAGTGCACTCAATATAACAAAAGCCTGACGGCACGCAAACTGTAGCCCTTCGAGATCAACAGGTGTCCTATCCAAGATGTATGTCAGTCGATCTTGAAGTCTCTGAAGGATTTCACGCTTTACTGATTCCTGGGGGGAAAAGAATAGAAAAGATAGATAAAATATGACCAACAGTGCTCAACGTTCGACCGTTTGTTTACCAACACTGATTAATCCTATTTAACATCATCTCTTAATGTTCAATTCCACCCCATCATTAAACACAATGGAATATATTTTTGAATAATAATTTGAGCAGCAAATTTTGGATTAATTCTGTCTAAATTGTCCCTAAAAAACAAAGCAACAGAATGAAAGAAGTTAAAGAAATGTTTGGCTAATGTTAGCTATGTAAGGTTATAATCCTAGGTAGTCTATTAGCATAATATAGCTAACTTGCCAGCAAACGCTAGCATTACATGCCACCCATATTACTTCCATGCTAACACATCACTAACATAACAATAATTCATACCTAAAACATATTTAATCATTCACGCCGAGACACGTATAACTTACACTTGTGCTAGACGCCATGTTGAAGTTGACCTGTCAGCTCCGGAGTCCGGACTGCGCAAAAAGCGTAAATGAAGCGCTACGTCACGAACGCAAGAAATCCTACCCACGTGGGGGCGCGCTCATGTGATTGGCTTAGACTGGAGGAGACATCTGATTGGCTATAGATGAGAGAAATTACAAGTACGAATCGGGTGAGCGTCAGGGGAGTCTCAAAAAACCCACACACGAATGCAAAGCGATCCGTGCACAGAAAGCTGTTTGTGTTTGAAGGTGCAGCGGTTTTAAACGGAAAACTAATATGTGTGGATCAAAATACACATGTAAAACTTTTTTCTGTGTTTGGATTTTATTTACATGCATATGAAACGGAACACATTTGTGTATGCATTGAAAAACACAAGTGTGGATCCGGAAATACAAGTTTGAATCCTTTTGCGGATCATGAAATACAAGTGTGAATCCTTCTGTGTGCATGTGTGTATTATGAGACTGTTCTGAGCCCATATTTTTGAGGCGGTTCACAATCTTTCCCACCCCGGTAGGAAGCCGTCCGTGAAGTTGTTGTCACAGAAGTTCGTGTGGCAGGGGCTTAAGAAGGACGTGAGGTCCTGGGTCGACTCGTGCGTGGCCTGTCAACGTGCCAAAGTCCACCGCCATACTAGGGCCCCTTTTGAACTTTTTGCGGTTCCTGAGAGGAGGTTTGACCATGTCAATGTCGACCTCGTAGGTCCGCTTCCCCCCTCTCACGGTTTCACTTACCTGTTTACGATGGTGGACAGGACGACCCGCTGGCCCGAGGCCGTTCCCCTCGCCTCGACATCAGCTTCCGACGTCGCCCGCGCTTTCATCGGCACGTGGGTGGCGCGATTCGGGACCCCGTCTGACCTCTCCTCTGACCGCGGTTCTCAGTTCACCTCGGAGCTGTGGAACGCTGTTGCTGTGGGTTTGGGGGTCAAGCTGCACCGCACCACTGCATATCACCCCCAGGCTAACGGATTGTGTGAGCGGTTTTCACCGGTCCATGAAGGCGTCACTGCGTGCCGGCTTGATAGACGGCAACTGGGTGGATAAGCTCCCGTGGGTTATGCTCGGCCTCAGGTGTGCCCCCAAAGAAGGCCTGCAGTCCTCGTCGGCGGAGCTCGTCTATGGTCAGACGCTACGGGTCCCTGGGGAATTCATTCCCACCGCCACTGTGCCCTGGTCTGCAGCCGGGCAGCGCTCCTCCCTGCTGGAGACCGCCGGGACATTCACGCCCGTCCCCACGTCGCAGCACAGCAACCCAGCTTTCCGGGTGTCCCCCGGATTACGGTCGGCCGATTTCGTTTTTATTCGCCACGACGCCCACCGCGGTCCCCTGCGGCCCCCTTACGACGGTCCGTTCAGGGTCATACGTCACGGGGACAAGAGCCTGGTGGTGGACGTTGGTGGCAGGCCTGAGACTGTGTCCGTTGATCGGATTAAGCCTGCTCACGTGGACATTTCCAGGCCGTTGGAGTTGGCTCTGCCCCCACGTCGGGGCCGCCCTCCCATGGCCCGCCCCCCGCCCCCTGTGGGGATGCCCTCGTTGGCGCCCCTGCCCTCGCCTGCGGCCCCGCCCTCCTCGGCCCCTGTGGTCCGTACGCGCCGGGGTCGGGTGGTACTTCCTCCCAGGCACGAGGATTTTGACTATGGGTGAATACTGGGGGGGCTTGTGTGGTGATTGACATTATTCACCCACGGATCTATGGGTTGGGGTATTGTTCCGCACGGACATTTGAGTGAGCCGGACTTCCTGTTTCCGCCGGTCTTCGCTTCCCGGGCATGAAGTAGTTTTACATGTGTGTTCCGATGCTAAATAAAAGTAGAGCTTGTAACTTTGATACCCCGCCTCCGACTCCCGTCTCTCGGCACCACAAGCCTCTGAATTAGCCCCGAGCGAAAAATGCTAACCTATCACTGCACCGAAAATCACTCCTTATTACTTATCCTAGCTGCACATCCAACACATCGTTTATGATCGTAAAGACACAGAATCTAACTGTGCCCACTTCAACACTGAAAGATACAAACTCGCGACGTTATCAACAAAAACGTACATCAAAACAAGTGACGCTAGGTACTAACATGCGCTAGGCTAACATGGTTTACCTTGGTCTTTGTCTGGTCTTCAATGGCATTAAAACGATGATGTAGTTAATCCATAGGTTAATATCCAATGTGGCTGTGTCCCCTTTGAAATGTTCTGATAATCTATAAGCAATAAAACTGCAATTCCGTTATCTGCTGTCCGCTCTGTGCTCCGTGCTCTCTGGGTCCTGCAATTCCTGCTTCCTTACGTAGTAAACAATAAGTAAAGTCTGCTGAGTAATGTGCTTACGCTGGCTGGCATTGGCAGTGCACTACATCCCCATTAAGTAATGGTTGATTAATAAATCCCATTTTATGTTTCATCATACTCTCAGAGTAGTCGTCCGGAAACTGTGGATCTTTCGGTTCGGGCCGAGCACATTTCGCTAGCCACTGCCTCCGAACGTACTTCCTAGATGGAACCGAGCATTCCGTGGATTGTTCCTATCCGAATTGTGGCAATGTTTCGCGATACAATGAGGCATATTTATATAGAATTGTGAGAGTAACTAGAGTAAACAACGTGAACAAAGCACATCCGTCAATTTGTCCTCGACACCAAACGCATAGTTTACGTCACTTCCGGTAAAATAAGTCATGTGACTCGTCAAAATGGCGCCGCCCACAGGGTTGATGTTATTTCGGTAATTAATCAGTTTAAAATCACTGATAACGTCATCGGATTAAAAAAAAAAAAAAAGACTGGCAGAGACTGGTCTGTTTTATCGGATGATAATTATTTAAAAATGCGTGTCATGAGCATTCCCTCCCTTTAACTTGCGGTCTGCAATGCGTGTCACGCTCACGCACACTAGTAAATATATGCACGTCCATTCTCACAACGCGTCAGACACAAGAAAATATACGTTAATTTACATCAGAACGTTTTTTTATTTGTTTTAATATTTTGTATTTCTTATAATGGGACACAGGGTGTGGTCCGGATCCGGACATTAGTCCGGAGTTTGAGAAGCCCTGATCTAATGTTTTGAACACATTCAAATTTGGACCTGATGAAAGTGCCAGATAAAAAATCAGGGGATCACCAAAGTAATGACAGTTCACCCAGAGAGTAGATAAATGCTCGCGCAAAATGTAATGTTTGTGCATCAAATACTTATCAGGACAATTCACACAAAGCCACAGATGTCAACCTCATGGTGGTGGCGCTAGAGTTAAGTCAGACGATCACTGAAGTCAGAAGGCACATTCCTTTAAGGGTTATTAATGTTTAAACAACAGATGACACCTTTGTAAATACTGTTATGGCATCACAGCAATCCAAACAGATCCTTCTATGAACAAGCAACTGAGAAATTGACTGTCATGTTTGTTGCACTATATGAATACGAGCAATACTCATACTAATGATTGCAGTAGCTCTATCATGATGCCACTGGGACTACAGTGACAGAGTTAAAAGGTTATTTAAATGAGGGGTTCATAAATGTTCAAATGGAAAACTATCCTTCAGTCAGTAAAATGCTTAATTCAACTTCCTGAACAGCCTTTTTTCTTGTAGGATTCAGAGTCATCAGATGATTCTGGTTCAATACTTTTGCCTCTTGCAGTAGAGTTTTTGTCATATTTAATGACATGAAAAACGGCTTTAACCAGAAAAGGGCTGAGTGTTCCAAAACTCCCAGCAGATTTCTCTCTGATATGCCCACATGCTGTGGCAGCCAGCTGAATCATTCATGATCAAATACAGTTTTTTTGTAAACAAATGCACATTGCGATTCTATTTGTCATTTTGTCAGTACATTTCTTGAATAACCATCTATTCATTCATATTCCACGATAAGCATTCATTGTCGCTGTGTTTTTTATTGGACTTCAAAAGCAGTCGCTTCACCACAGTGTTGCTGTACTTTGATGTTAATCACCACGTTCACAAACAGACCAACAGAGGTTTATTGCCAGTGTCCAGAGAAGCAACCAAAACGAGGGGTTACGTATGATAACCCTTGTTATATAAACACAGGCGGAGCCCTCTACTGGACTCTATGGGTACTCCCCTTGATCATATCATGCAAGCATTCATCCACTGAGACTTCTATAGACGTAGCCGGCCCCGGGGCGGGCCTTCCTGAATGTGCGCACATCTCACCGCATAAAAGGAGGCCTCGCCTCCTGACTGTCATCCTACACTTCTCTTCAGCAAGCAGCATAGGACAGACAGGGCCCCCGAGTAGAGGGCTCTGCCTGTGTTTATATAACAAGGGTTACCATACGTAACCCCTCGTTATATCTCTCACAGCCCCGATGTATACACGCGCTGTCGTCCCACAACAACAATGTTCCATCTCACTGTCTCTGACCAGCTTTCTGGTTAGCAGCCGCTGCGCCTCACTCACCTCTCCTTCGGTCGTAACCGTGGATAAGTTAGGGCTGCGGCTGACAGAGCACATTACGCCCGGGGAGGGGGTCAGATGCCCACTGACCCACAGCCCCCCTCCCTCCTCACCAGTCCTGTGTTGCCCCAGCAAGCACAGACGATGAAAAGGAGCCAGACATGTCCAAGAGATAAAACTTTATGAAGGGGCCTGGTGTTGACCAAGACGCCGCCATGCATATGTCCTCCACACTCACGCCGTTAAATAAGGCTGTTGACACAGCCACAGCTCGTGTAGAGTGTGCACAGACCCCCGTGCGGAAGGTTTGATTGATTGATTGATTGATTGATTGATTGATTGATTGAAAAGTTTATTAACAGCTTGTATATTGGGTACAGTACAGCAGCTCAAAACATACAATTGTTAAGGGGATGCAGACCAGAGAAAGACTTTCGTCTTGTTTACATCAGGGTCCCCCATTTCCAATTCATCATATCATTTAAGACATATAAGACATATTTGACATACAGATGGCTTATTTACAATTTACATACAGGTGGTTTTTTTCATACAGATTGCTTATTTACAATTTTCATTTTAGATTTCGTTCTAATACATCCTAACCGGACATTTAAGACATACCAAGTCTACAGATATACAGTTAGTAACAGAGTCTAAAATGCGAGTATATACATAGATGGGGGGGGGAAGCTGTCCATTGTACGACAGGTTGAGATTTGTACCATTACCGGGGCCAGTTTTGCAATGCTCTCCCCCGAAGGTGCTCTTTAAGAGAGGTTTTGAAGGTAAGTATAGTTTTACTTTCCTTTACAGTTGTGGGAAGAGCGTTCCACCTTGATGTGGCATAATTGCGAAACGTGTATTCCCCCTTTTTTGTGCCAAATCTGGGTTTCACATGATTTGTGGAGCTCCCTCTGGTGTTATGATCATGGTATTCCTTGACCTTTGGGAAGAATCTTGACATGTACATGGGTACCATAGAGGTGTAGTGGATCTTGTAGCCCATTGCAAGTAGCTGTACTCTGTCATCTACTCTAAGCCATCCTAGGTTGTCAAAGTGGGCAGAGGTGAGGTGGGTTCTAGATGAAAGGTCAAGCAGTAGTCTGACCAGTTTATTTTGCGATGTTTGAAGTTTTATTTTTAGCGCCTTGGAGGTGCTATGGTACCATGACGTGCAAGCATAGTCATAGTACCCTTGAATGAGTGCTCCTGCCAGAGTTTTCAGGGTGTTTTTGTTTACCAGAGAGGAGATCCGGTATAGGAATTTAGTTCTTTGATTGACTTTTTTTATTACATTGGATGCCATTTTGTCACAGGAGAGGTTTGCCTCAAGAATAGATCCTAGGTATGTAATTTCCTTCTTACTTGTGACAATAATGTCACCCACTGCAACTGAGAAGTCGTCGGGTTTGCTGAGATTATGTTTCGAACCGAAGAGAATGGACTCTGTTTTACCCAGGTGTAATGATAATGTATTATCGGCGAGCCAGGTGCAGATTCTGCCGAGCTCGGAGCTGAGGGTTTTTTCAACCTGCAATCTGCTCCTGTCAGAGACCAGCAGGGCTGAGTCGTCCGCGAACAGGAACAAGTTGCAGTCACATGCTGATGACATGTCGTTTGCATAAATTAGGAATGGTAACGGACCTAATATGCTTCCTTGTGGAACACCACAGCTCACTGGGAGGGGGGGGGACAGAGTACCGTTTACCTCCACCATCTGTTCTCTCCCCTCCAGGTAGGATTGCATCCAGCTCACCGATAGTTTATCAAAACCAATTGCTTTTAGCTTGTCAATCAGAATGGGGTGATTGACAGTGTCAAAAGCCTTTTGTAGGTCCAGCATCACCATGCCGCAGTACTTGCCCTCGTCCACCTCTTGTTTGATGTGGTCGCTCAAATAAAGAAGGCATGTGTCAGTGGAGTGGGATGTTCTAAAGCCAGATTGAAATTCATAAATTAGTTTATTTTCCGCGAGGTACTTTTCGACCTGTTCATATACTATTTTTTCCATGACTTTCGAGATGGAGGTAAGTATAGAAACAGGGCGGTAGTTGCCTGGGTCCAATTTGCTGCCCTTTTTGTGCAGGGGGGTTACTCTTGCAATTTTGAAGTCTTTGGGTACTTTTCCCTGTTTTATGGAGAGGTTAATTATGTGAGCTATGACTGGTGAGATGGCGGTTGCTGTGTCTCTGAGGAATTTGGAGGGGATATTGTCGTGGCCAGTGGCCTTGTTAGGTTGGAGGGCGCTCAGTTTAATGAGTACCTCTGCTGTTGTTACCCTTGCTAGACTGAAATCATCTTTGCGTACCCCTAGGTTTTTGTAGTAGGTCATGATGTGATCTACTCCAAAAAGCCCTGAGTGGGAGGGTAATTTATTTCCAAGAGTTGTGGCTATGTTTGTGAAAAAAATGTTCAAGTACTTGGCCACATCCAGTTTGTCTGTGATGAGCCTGTTATCTGTCTTTATGTTTAAGTTCGAAAATCTCGTTTTAAGTTTTTTACTGCAGCCAAGCTGGTTATTGAGTAATTTCCAAAGTTCACAGGGTTTATTTTTGTTTTCCTCAGTTTTGACATTGATGAAACTCTTTTTGGCAGTTTTGATCATGGAGCTTACGTAATTTCTTAGTCTGTTTCTTTCAATGTTTAGTTCAGTCACGTGGGCCTGGAGTTCACTGCTCGTGCTTTTGGAAAGCATTGACTGACTTTTAT